TACATCCTAATTCAGCAGGTTCATGGATTTGACAGTAAATACCCATGGTTGGGGATGCTCAGATTCACATCACAGGTTTTGGTCCGGGAGCGGTTATTATAACAACACATATTTTGTTGTTATTGTAACAACACTAGTCTTCAACCAATAGGAAGTTAGGGTTGTGATGACTTTTTATTAGATGAGTTGACCTAGTGTAAAATCAAAGCAGGGGTATAATTGTCATTATGAAAAATATATTTAAATAATAACAAAAAAATAAAAAATATTATTTTATTTTCGGCCAAAAAAGTTGGTCGCCGGAATTAGGCCACCGGTCGCCGGTCACCGGAATATGCTTTTTTGTCGCCGGAATATGCTTTTCTGTCATCGGAATATGTCATCGTCGCCGGAATATGCTTACCGGCGTCGGAATATGCTTACTGGCGTCGGAATCTAGTCATCGGGGTCGGAATCCGGTAACTGACGGTCATCGGAGTTCGGTCAACGAACTTCGTTGACCGGTCAACGGTCAACGACCACCGGATGTTATGGTCTTCATTGTGAGATTTATGGTTTGGTTTCTCACATTTTTGTATGCCTTTTGTGGTTTGCTTTATCGCGTTTGTGGTTTGCATTGAGAAGTTTCTGGTTTGCTTTATCGTGTTTGTGGTTTGCATTGAGAAGTTTCTGGTTTGCTTTCAAAAATTTTGTGGTTTGCATTGAGTGGTTTGTGGTTTGTTTTAGGAGATTTGTGGTATGCATTAGGAGGTTTCTGGTTTGTTTTTGTGGTTTGCTTTAACGTGTTTGTGGTTTGCATTATGAGGTTTCTGGTGTGTTTTTGAAAATTTTGTGGTTTGCTTTGTGAGGTTTCTGGTTTGTTTTAATATATTTTTGGTCTGCATTAGGACGTTTCTGGTTTGTTTTTGTGGTTTGCTTTACGGTATTTATGGTTTGCGTTATGAGTTTTCTGGTGTGCTTTCAAAATATTTGTGGTTTGGTTTGTGGTGTTTCTGATTTGTTTTATGGAATTTGTGGCATGCATTGGGAGGTTTTTGGTATGCTTTTTTATGGTTTGTTTTACCCTGTTTGTAGTTTGTTTTATGAAGTTTCTGGTGTGTAAGGGTAAACTTACCTAATTAAGTGTTGGGAAGTTTAATTTAATTTAATTATATTTTTGGTGTGTTTATAATTTATGTGTGGTTTGATTTATCAGAAACAAATTGGAAACAAACTTGACAAATAGCTCTTCTCCTGGAGCTAAACAATTACAAATCGACATAACAGGCTATTGAAGTCATATCAATTAAACTCTCCATTGTCCACTCAATTCATATCAAGAATTAACAATTGGACTGAAGAAGTACTAATGAACGAAAGTGACGAGAGAGAAAAGCAATCGGAGCACTAAGGTCTTCAGAATGAATAATCTCTTGACAAACTCGTCCGCAGCCATCACCATGTTCGCGAATCTCTAGGAGGGGGAAGAGCGATGGAGTTGCAGAAGATTTAGAACCGGGGAAAAACGAGTCGCAGCGGGGCAGCAGCGAATCTCAACGAAGTCGTCAGCAGCCGATGCTGCCATGGTTGTGAAGCTCTAAGAGGGGAAAAGAGCGACGGAGCTGTAGGACGAGGAGAGCCAGAGAGAAACGAGTTGGGGTAGAGCAGCAGGGGAGCGAGAATCGCCGATCTGGGGGGAGTCCCTCTAGTCTCGATATCCTCGGTGACCGGGCCAATTTTCTTAGAGTCTGTCGCCGTCTCTTGTGTTGAGAAAGAATGGCGATGGGAGGAGGAAGGATCAAAGCGGGTTGGTCTCTGCCATCCCGTCGGCGAAAGAGAAGAGACCGAGATTTTGTCGTCAAGAACAAAGACAACCATCGCCGGAGAATGGAATATAGATCTGGAACTGGGAGCAATTTTTGTTGGAGAGGAAGAGAGCGCATGAGCCGACAGAGTGAATTATTTAAATTTTATTTTATTAATTTTGGGTCAATGTGACCCTTTTACCCCTGTTGTTATTATAACAACACATTTAGTGTTGTTATTGTATCCCGTCCCTTTTGGTCCCTCATTATCTTGGGATGACACTTTTCTTCCTCGTTACTGAGTAAATAGGGTATGATATTCTATTTGCACTCCTTCTCATTGGCTGAATGGTTTATTGTAGTTTGGGACAATCATTTTATTCTAAACATAATTTGTTGATGTGGTTAGTGATATTAAACATAGTTATGACAAGAACTAGTTGTATCAGTGGGGATATGATTATTGAATGTGCTTGTGTACTTTGTCATGGTGAAATATAATATAGAGATCACTTGTTTGACTCATGTTCATATGTTACTTGGGTTATGCAAACTATTTTAAGGAAGGTCTATTTGATACCTGTTGGGCCACGAGCGGAGCAGCGTTGGGCTTCAGAGCCCAATAAGAGAAGAGAGCGGCCCAATCTAATAGGGAAGGTAAGCCCAGGATGGCAGGCTACCTCAAACGGGACAGCAAAAAGGCCGCCTAGCATAAAGTGCTGACAAGTGATGAGATGTGAAGATCCACCTGTATATTTGCCTTGGGAGAAGCAGTACTAAGCATTAACTACCCGTCGTAGGTGGTTCATGTGAAGACAAGATATGCTTGGGGCGCCAGACAAAGCATTTAATGCCCAAATCTACACAACCGAGTATAAATACCACCTCAGGAGCATTGATGGACGATGGTAACTCAACTACTTCCCCTCTCTCTAAATCTAAAACACATATTCTCATTTCTCTCTCTAACTTACGCTTTAGAGAGTGTCCTGAGCAACCGTCCATGGACCCTTGTCTTGCAGTGTTCAGTAGTGTCTCCCTTCATCAAGAACAAACACCTCACTCATGCTTCACAAAATCGCCTGACACTTTATAGGCTTAAACAATACCAATGATGTCAAATTGGGATGATCATTTAAATTTGACAGTTCATAAATGCGATGGTTCTATTGATGTTGTTGTTGTTGGGAGGTTGCTCTTGTCTATGTTCATCAGTCATACCCGAAGAGAGAAGTATAAGGGAGTCTAAGGAGAATCCAATGTGTCTTCAACGATTGGTCCTGCAGAGAGGATAATTGATGAAATCCAATTGTTTGCAAGGAGCAATGAAACTTCTCCAGTAGATAATGCATAAGGTGTTTGGAAATTAGATACTTTTAGTTAATCTTGTTGTATAGTTTGAATTTTTCTTATAATAACAACTTTAAAAAGCTTGTAATTGTTACAATTTGATATGGAGAATGCATGTTGCATCTTCTAGGCTTAATGCAATTTTTTTTATATTAACCATTAACAAATAGAAGAAAGTTATTTATAAGGTAATTAGAAATTTGTTACTTGGTAATGCATTATTGTAAACTAAAAAATCAAAAGTAAAAAGGAGGATGTGATGATAAGTAAATTGCATTTTAATGAAACATGTTGATAAATAAACTTTACATACGTAACAATTAAAGCGAGAGATTTGATGTTGAAGAAGTATATTATATATATAAGACTTAAACGATGTAGTGTAATATCACGAGCAAATTTTGGTATTCTTTTCCCCATTCAAACTCGTATCCAACCAAAATATTTGATTTTAAGAAATTAAAACCCAAACCCACCCATAAAATTGAATTTTCTCGGATATTTTGGGTGGGTTGGTTTGGGATGGGCGATTGGATGGGATTTTGTTTGTTTATTTCACCTTAGGCGGAAAGAAAAAAGAATCATATTATTTTTCGCTTTTCATGAATTGAGAGATGACAGATTGAGAATAAAAGATACCTTCAACATTTCAACAATACCAACTTCTACTTTTTATCAAGATTGTAAAACCATATAAGATGTTATATCTGAAAAATCACAGATAAGATATCTTGTGCTTAACTCGTGGTTTATTCAGAGTGCAACTGTTTTATACCGCTAAAATTCGTCTCCAATTTGACTTTTGGTTTCAATTAATTCTGATATGATCCAGTATCTAAAACATATTAATTTCTACAATATTACATTTATGGCATTCTGAAAATGTTACAACTGAAGTATCAGATTTATAATTTGCTATCCTAAAATACTTGGCCTCTAGTACCATATTGTATCACATCCAAACAACCACTTAACTATTACTTGAAGAACAACATATAAATATAATCCAAGCTTACCTCCTTCAACTCACAAAGCAATCTTGCATAAAAGAAATAGAACTGATCCATTTTGACACCAACTCTGCTTTGTCTGCCTAGATTTATACCTTAATTTAGACGTACGGCACTTCCTGTTTGAATCATTTTCTTTCTCAATTACATCTCTCTCCATTGCAAAACAAACAAAAACACAGTTTGTGTTTTTCTTGTAAATAGTGGGTTTTAATTTATGACTTCTACAATAATAAAAAGTTTTTTAGCCGTTACTGCATTGTCTTCTAAATCATTTAAAAAGAGAAAATAGAAAACAAAATTCCCCTTTCACATTCGGACCAAAAAACCCCTCTCCAGTATCCTCTGCTTTCACTCTCTCTACCTTTTCCTCCCACTCTGTTTCTCTCCATTTTCTCAGTTCATCTAACCAATCTCACATGGACTCAATCTTTTCCCTCCCTCCGCTCCCATAGGGTTTTCATTTTCATCCGTTTGAACAATTGATTGTCGTTTTCCTCCTCCCCCATTCTTTTGTAGTTTAATTTATTTAGTAGCTGCCAAGTTTCTCTAGCTTGGTTCCTTTTCAAACTCAAAACTCAAAAGCGAGCTATCGGTTTGCCGTCTTCTCCCCACCCCTAATCAGCCTTTTCAATTCATATTTTCTGGTGAGGTTTTTTGTTTTCCTTCTCTGGGTTCCTCAAATCGTTGAAAACCCATCTCGCAGAGTCACATGATTGCTTCCTCTGGGGCTCATCGCCGCCATTAACGCCTATTCATTTGGCTTCCAAAAAATACAGAGCATAGAGTAAAAGCCAGAAAGATATCTCTCATCTCTCTGTTCTTTCTCCTTAAATTTATATCTGTTTCAGTTTTGGTTTCTGCAAATTGCTTTGTTTCTTCTCTCATAACCGCTCTCTCTTTCAATTTGAACTTCAACAAAAGGAAAGCATTGGTACACACGCGCGCACACTTACACACACTCTCTCTTCTTTAATTGAAAAGCCTTGTTGCTTTCATTTCCTAAGCTCTCTCTCGAATCTACAGAAACCTAGAAAGGGGGGTTTTCCTTTCGCTTTTCCGATTTGCGATTGAGTTAAGAGTGAATCAATTCCTTGTTGTAAAGTAGGCTTTTTTTTTCTCCTTTTCCCCTTTTGTGGGATTTCGTCCATTTACTTGAAGGGAATCTAGTTCTCCCCTTCCTCCCCCCTGTGTCTCTTTCCACCACGATCTCCATTACACCTTCAAGTGGTCGTTAATCGCTTATATCTCGCTGTTTTCACGGTACCCACAAAAAAAAAAAAAAAAAACTGCTCCCCTTCTCTCTGTTCAAAAGAGAGATTAAGGAAAAAGTTCGAACCTTTCTTCACTTTCAATCTAATAGCCCCTGTTTCTTCTCGCATAAGCTTCAGCTGAAACCATGGAGAGCAGATTATGGTTTCTGCTTCTGGGGGTGTTGCTCCGATGGTGTTCTTCTTGTTCCGTTGCGAATGGTTTAGGGGTAAATTGGGGGACCATGGCTACTCACATGCTACCGCCCAAGACAGTTGTGCAGAGGTTGAAGGACAATGGGTTCCAGAAAGTGAAGCTATTCGATGCTGATTCCACCACCATGAATGCTCTTGCTGGGAGCAACATCGAGGTTATGGTGGCTATCCCTAACGATCAGCTTCAGGCTATGACTGACTATGGCAATGCTCAAGAATGGGTTAAGAGAAACATTTCTCGGTTCAACTTCAATGGTGGTGTTAATATCAAGTGAGTCAAAGGGCCAACTCTTCTCCCCCTATTCTTGAATTTTTCCATTCTTATTGGTTAGGAACTTTGAAATCCGTTTGTTGTTCGTGTTGATTGGCTGATGATTTATGGCATGAAAGTAGGAGTGTAGTTAGAGATGCTAAACTTGGGGTACTTTGAATCTGTCAAAAGAAGTGTATGCTTTATCGAAATCTATGCTGTTCATGGAGTAGTGTGAAAATTGAGTACTTTAATGGTGAAATATCGATTTTGGTATAGGGAAGAAACACAAACTGCTTAACTTTGTATCCGAATTTGTCAGAGCTTTGTGCAGTCCATATTAGTTCTTTAATGGGGGAATATCTCTTGATTCAGAATTCAAAAGTTAACTTGATTTCCATCTTTTATTAATCCGAACGGTTTTTACCCCCCTTTCCAATTTGTTTAATCTCTTTGTGGTAGCCTTTCACTTGAATGTTATATGTAGCTCTTACTATAGAGAATGGTGACACTTGATGCCTATATCGTTGGATCATGTTTTCTTGCGTTCCAAGTTGTCTATTTATTTATGATAACAATCTGTAAAGAACATCAAACACCTATAATGAATGGCTAGAATGTATGACCTTCCCACATTTGGCTCCTAATTAAACCCGAAATTAAAAGGGCTCTCCTAGTGTTGACCATGAGCTCAATTTCCTTAGCTGTTTGTTAGTCTTTCTTCTTTCTAACCTACTCAGTTAGCCTCATATTGAATATTAGTTCTTCAAATTTGAATCTGGTATTCAAACAGATTCAACCTTTTTGGTCCCTAAGACATTAGGGTGGTTTAAAGGTCTGGTTTTTACAACGGCAGTTGTGTTCTTTGTTCTTTACATTGCTTCCAAACTTTCTGCAACAGGTATGTGGCAGTAGGGAATGAGCCATTCCTGAAGACATACAACAACTCATTCATAAACGTCACATTCCCAGCACTCCAGAACATCCAAAACGCCCTCAACGAAGCTGACGTCGGAGACACCATTAAGGCCACCGTTCCCCTAAACGCCGACGTATACATGTCTCCGGACGACCAGCCATACCCATCCGCGGGAAGGTTCCGGCCCGACATCAACGACCTAATGACTGAAATCGTCCAGTTCATGAACAAGAATAATGCACCTTTCACGGTGAACATCTACCCTTCCTTAGTCTCTACGGCAACGACAACTTCCCTTTTGACTACGCCTTCTTCGACGGAGTAGCTCAGCCGGTCGTCGACAAGGGCACCGGGTTGGTGTTCGACGCTAACTTCGACACTTTGGTGTCGGCCCTCAAGGCCGTGGGACTCGGTGACATGACGATCATGGTTGGGGAAGTGGGATGGCCGACGGATGGTGATAAGAATGGCAATGTCGGCAATGCTTACCGGTTCTACAATGGTCTAATGCCCAGGCTCGCGGCGAACAGAGGTATCATAGTTGAAACGCGTTTTCATACATCTGCACATTTTGTGTTTTATGCATTTGGTTGTTTTTTAACTTACTAAACACAATTGAAACACAGTATTCCTTGGGTCAAAATTTTGGAACACAGTATAACTAGGGTTAATCAATTAATTAAAAGCCCAAGAATTCGACACTGTTCACTATGAAAGTTTCGCTAATTAGTTAATGGTTTACTGTTCATTGGGAGATTGTTTTCCGTGGCCGCTTTTATAGTGAGATTTTGTGTTCCCGTATTTGTTTTGAGGTTGGCTAACCAATCCCTATTTTGGTTTGTCTTTCTCCTTACATATAAGTCTTAGATAGATCAGATAATTATTCACTTTTAATTTCATTCTTTGTAATTAGTATGCACCCAACCTTATCATGGGTTGGCCGGGTAAACATTTGACACTTTACATACTTTTTACTGTTCAGTAAGAAAAAAATAGACTATTTTTTTTTTCACGAGTACTTTCACAATAGAGTTTTTTCCCATATATCCAAATTCATCATAAGCCATTTTTTCTCCTTTTCTGCAATATTAGTCACATGAGTTTTATTCCCTCCAACCACTTCTATGATAAGTCTAAAATTCATATGCAAATAATATTAGACCACATATTATAAAATATTTATGTATCAATATTCAATAAATGTTACGTAAATTAAAAATTCGTCAATGTGACTTACTATAACTTGATTATACTATTACACCTCATTATGACAATTTTATTTAATATGTTCTATAACTGTTATATGAATTTTCCTTAATGATTACACTACGTAAAATTTATGGACAAATACTCAGTTATGTAACAATTAAAAAATAATATGTAAAGTTTCTACAATAATTAAACACTACGTCAAATTTATGTAGAAATAGTTATTTACAATGTATGTCTTAACCAAACGGATGACGTATGTTATTCGTAATGATTAAGACATCACGTGAAACTTACATATGTATTTTATCTGGATAATTTTTTTTGTTTTAAACTAAATTATTAATATTTTACCGCGGCGGAGCGCGGGCCAAAAAACTAGTATGACTTATAATAATACTCTGCACATGTTTTATGCCGTGTAAATGATCTAATCCTATGTTACTAACTATGTCAAGGTACACCACTTCGACCTGGCTACATTGAGGTCTACCTCTTCGGCCTTCTCGACGAGGATGCCAAGAGCATTGCTCCTGGCAGCTTCGAGCGGCACTGGGGGATCTTTAGGTACGACGAGCAGCCCAAATTCGTTCTGGACATCTCAGGGCAAGGCCAGAACAAGTTTCTCGTAGGTGCAAGAGGTGTGGATTACTTGCCCCAGAAGTGGTGCGCGTTCAATCCGAATGCTAAGGATCTGAGCAAGCTGGCCGACAATATCAGCTACGTGTGTACGTTCTCTGATTGCACGGCGCTCGGGTATGGGTCGTCGTGCAACGAGCTTGATGCGAACGGGAACGCGTCGTATGCATTCAACATGTACTACCAGGTTCAGAATCAGGATGATTTGGCGTGTAATTTCGAAGGGCTGGCTAGTGTTACGACATAGAATATATCTCAGGGGAATTGCAATTTCATGATCCAGATTGCTACTTCTTCGGCTGGAATTCGTGGGCCTTCTGTTGTTGTAGTTGTTCTTGTGGCGGGGCTTGTTACGGTATAGATGAGATGAAGAGGAAGGAGAAGTGGGGGTTTAGTTTTGGTTTGCCATCTTGTAGATACCATTTTGAGATGCGGAACATTTCCCCCTATACTATATACCATCATTTTGTTAGTTTTTTTTAACCTTGTGGTGGTTCTTTTTTAGGAGGATGTTTATGGATTACATGATGCTTCTGGTTGTTTTGAAATAATATGCTTTCACACCATTTGTTTTGTTCTCGTGACGGAGGAGCAACGATTTGGTCCACATATCGAATCAATATTTGCTTGAATTGAGTTAAGTTTCATGAATTATGTATTTATGCTTAAAGGAAAAGGCAAACTAAACTGGATCAGGTGGGTTGTTGTATCAGACTATAAGTATATAATCCTCATATTCATTTATATTTTGATCTATATATTCTCTATTAGACCGAAGTTTGGATCAGGTGTCATTTCACAAACCCTTGCAAGAAAAAGAAGTAAATTGCCCGAGAAGATAGCATGTTGATTAAAGTGTAACCACATTGTCTGCATCCATTTTTCATGGGCTTGAAACAACCCACCACAATTAGGCTTGAAAAAGGTCAACTATCGTGTAAAGTTTTCATTCCCCAAGTAGATGGATTTTTTTACATTAAGATCAACTTTTATTCCACCAAGTGAGAAGATCCAGATTCAATAGTCTGTATGTGGGATAGGGCTACGCAAAGTGGATCTCACTCGGCAGGAGAGATTGCTGTGTTGAATCAGGAATGGGCACTCCTCTTGGATAAAGGGGTGCAATTCCCGAAGATGATGATCCTATGGTTGTTGAGCTTTTTGTTATTCTTGAGACCATTCTCTGGTGTCTCAGCCTTGGATTTTCGGTGACGAGATTTTCGGTGACGCCAAGGTGGTAATTGATAAGATTCTTAAGGCGGATTATGGTGATAATTGGATGGGGGCCATTCTCGAGGAGGTTGAGCATTATTATGATAATCACAGTGGGTTTAGTGTGCGGTTTATAGGTCGGCGTAGCAATAGGGTAGCACATTTGGTGGCTAGAAAGGCTCTTACTTTGTACCCGAGGATGAGTCGCTTCTTTGATTTTATGGTCTGGCTTAATTCTAGGATGTAACTATCTTTTCTTTGAAGCAATATAATGATTATCTTTTGTCAAAATAAAAAGTGAGAAGAAACTCTAAAAAAACCGAGTGAAAAGAAAAAAGTTACACTTTTAGGGCCCGTTTGGATTAGGTATTTTAAAATGAGGGTTTTAAGACTCAAATCTCTCAATCAAAATCCTAGGAATTTAAAACGTGGGATTTAGTACAATTTTGCGTTTGGGATTGGATCAGGATTTTAGCCCATAGAATCCCAATTACACGATTACCCCTCTCTCTCTCTCTCTCTTCTTCTTCTTCTTCTTCTTCTTCTTCTTCTTCTCCGTTCCTTCGTCTCGGCTTCTGGCTGCTCTAAGTCTTTTGCTGTTGTGCCAATTTTTGCAGCCAAGGGAAAATCCCCAAATCGACCCGTAACATACAATCCGAAAGTGCCGGGCTTCAATTGCAGAGCAATTTTTTTTTTTTGCAGATCTACAATCGCCGACTTCAAACAAAGAACTGCTCGACGCCGGTGATTTGTCTTCTAATGGGCAGTTGGCGGGCGACGACTTAGTAGATGGGGGCTGCGAGAGTCGGGTGAACGAGGCACACCATCTTCTCTGAAGAAGTAAGAGGAAGGAAGAAGCTGGGTCGGAGTTTGACGTCGCTGAAGAAACAGGGTGGAGAGGATGGGGACGAGATGGGAAGAAGAAAGGGTCCACTTAATTGGGATGGGAAGGCGGCAATGTGGTATAGGAGTTTTTGCTTGGATGCCGGAAGAAGGTGGGCGGAGCTTGAGTTCGCCGGAGAAAGACGATGGAGAAGATGATGATGAACTGGAAGAAGGAAGAGTGTTAGTTTGGAACAAGTTTGGAAGAAGGACAAGTTTGGAACAAAACTGAAAAAAATCAGGGATTTCGAAATAGCTGATCCCCATCAGCTATTTTAAAAACCTGCATTTGAGAGATTTTAAAATTCTTAATGCCCAGAATCTCTCGTATACCCAAACGCATGATTGTTTTAAAATCCTGCATAATAAGGAATTGTTTTAAAATCTCTCATTAGAATCCTGCATCCAAACGACCCCTTAGAGGAGATCATAAATTAGATCTAGTATATCTATCCAATCACCTGAAAGAGAAGATCTGGCAAGAGAATGGGCAACCCAGTCAACTCCAACATTCAAATTTCTTGACACCGCCATGACCTTGATTTGTAGCTTCATTCTTAAGATTGAGACCATTGATAATATCCAAGTTGCTTACCTCTAAGGTCAATTCTGGAAATCTTATGAGTGTGCTTTGACTAAGAGTTGACAATCTGATTGAACCTAACATTAAGAGACATATTCTTGTGCTAATTTGAGACCTTCCAAAAGATCTTTCGTTTAAGCTTCAATCGGGGTAGAACACAGGAGGGTAGTCAGCTTGCACACCACACACTTGTCAATGGTGGTTAATAACCACAACAACATAAGTCGCCGACTCGGAGTCACTAATGAATGACCCGTCACAATAAATTACTACTGAGTGATTGCTTGGCAGCGGATAAGTAAGTGGTTGGGCTCCCGTAAGGCGAGAAGGAAGGGGACGAGGAGGGGTATCCTCGCTCATGTTGTCCACTCAATGAATTTCTTATATGCTTGCATACAGTTATTGGGTGCTGACTCACTCCTACTGTCACTCTAGAAAATGGCCAAGTGTAACCACTTCCTAAAGCGTAGTATAGCGGGTTAGGTTTCAATGTCAACCCGGGTCCTAGATGTGATGACTACTCAGTGAATTCGTATTATCTAGCAATGAAACTTTAGTGAAGATCTAAACTAACAAGCAAGCAAAGCAACTAAACGGTTGTATTCAGGTTAAGAGAGGTCACCCGGATATGGTTCCCCCTAGTCTGCAGTTAAGCCGGATTGTAATTACCAAGTTCAATTTCTATGATAGTTATACTGCGGAAGGTTCTCAAACAGTCTGAAGTCTCGACTAAAGGTCTTCAGACCCTCTCAATCTGAGTCTCTAGCGGGCGACTAACCTCCACCGGAGTAAACAGATTGAGGCCTTATGAACAAAACCTCCACTACCGAATTGAATTCGGTACAGAATAGTGAATTGGCTCCTCGACTAAAGTCACCAACTCACTACCTTCAATTAAGGATACTCTATTAACCTAGGCAGATATTCTCATTCTAGGTTAAAGCAGAAACAACAGGAATTTGATCAGGATTCATGCCATTCAATCATTCAAACCTCAATCGAATATAATCAATTCATAGAAACAAAACTTGGGTTCATACAATCAATCCCAACATACAGAACTAGGGTTTCCCACACCCAGATGAATGAGAGAACTACTCCATGGAGAGAGAAGCAAAAGCAGAATCAGACGCGGAAATCATACTGTGAAGTTGGATTTCTGCTCCTGGACGTTGAATCGGCACTTCTCCAAGCTCAAGCCAAGCTCCAATGGTGTTGAAGATCAAGCTAGGGCACTTGGAGACTCTTGTTCGTCGCTCTCTCTCTCTAGGAATCGCTCTGTCTCTCTAAAACTCGAATCCCTCTCAATTTGGCTGAAATCTGCCTAAAAGGGCATCATTGGCCAAAGCACGGTCGAGGGCACGGCCGTGCTTTGCCTCAGCCCGCCCGTGTTTTGGATCTGGCTTAAAAGCACGGCTACGGGCATCATGGAAACACGGGCGTGTTCTGTGTAAAACACGGCCGTGTTCTCACTCAGGCCTGCCCGTGTTTTTTAGGTGGTTCAAGCCACCCTTGGGAAGTCTCGGCCATAAAAGCACGGTCAGGAACACGGCCGTATTCTGAGGGCCTCCTGCCCTTGTTTTGGCCCTGGCTTGTCCAAACGACTTCCAAACGATCCGAAACTCGTGCTTGGCCTTCCCTTTGACGCCTGGGACCTGAAATAGGACAAAGTAGCACAACCCGGCGTAAAATAGGCCAAAACACACAACCATGCTCCGCAAATGGATAAGAAATAGGGGTATAAAATCATGCAATTACATCGTTATCAAACTCCCCCACACTTAACCGTTTGCTTGTCCCTAGGCAAATCCAAGTCAGACACCAGGTCAGCTCGAGACATTTCAATCAAGCAGGCTTAAGGGCAAATCATATCGGCACAAAACACGTGGATCATACTGGCTTTCGATCATCAATCACACGGCAACTCGAAGCAACGACCTAGACAACCGCCACAGCTGACATTCGAGTGCAATAAAGTTGAGCAAAGGAAGAGTTCCCTTCTGTTCACTAACCAACATAGACTTGACTCAACCACTTGTTCAAACAGTCACTTCATGCATAAAGCTCAAGATATCAGAATTAAGACCGAGCAATCTAGGTCCTCACCGGGGTAAAGAGCATAGAGAAAATGAGAAAATGAATCGCTCACTCTCGACCAGTGGGGTCAGGACAAATTTATGCGAAAAATGTGCATGCTTATTCTCTCAATCCCTAACGTCTCTTCACCATGAATGCAGCCTCTAAATGCTAGAGTTCACATAAAGGGGTGTCACCACTAACTAATCCGGAGGTCTTAGACACAGGTTCAAATGACTGGCTAGGGTCTTGGACATGGGGAAAAGGCCTTTTAGGTGGTGGCAGTTATAGCACAAGGTTCCACATTTCCAGACCCAAGCAAAACCACAATCAAGCAAACCAGTAACTTTCAGTTCTGCTATTCTGCATTAATCAAATTCTTCAAGGCACAAGAGCGAAGGAGGTTATAAGAATGTTGGCATTTCCAAGCCAGACTGCTAGGAAACACTACTTAAGGGGCACTATTCAGAATTTTGGTGGTGGCTCTCTTTTGCTTTCATTTTTCCTTTGTTTTTCTTTATTTTTTTCTTTATTCATTCCTTAAGAGAACCACCACCTCTGCACATTTTTCCAACACACGCCCAACTTTTAAGCACTACCTCCAACCCTCACATTACATTTAGCAGAACAGCAGAAAGCATACAAAAAACCACTCTGTGGAACCTTCTAAAAGATGCAAAGGGTGATTTTTCATTACAGACCGAAAGAAAGGATAACACACGGCTCAAAGGGGCTGACTAGGGGATATGACACATCAGGGACAGTCAGTTTGGTAGTGGGCTAATCCTATGCCTCCATCATCTTAGCTAGTGACAACGTGAATGCTACATTTCATGGAAGAGGGATCTATCGCACAAGAAAGGAACGAGCAGGCTCAAATCTCACATGGCTACCTATATGCTCTATCTCACATTCTGATTCCCTG